GGATATGCATAGACCCATAGTGATAGGAGTTTTCAGAATGAGCATGAGGGAATTTAGGGCAAAGAGAAAGTTTCTATTGGGTGGAGGGTAAGCTAATTAGAGAACCTAAACCTAAGCCATTCAAAGCTTCTCAGGTAGTCTAATCCCTTATCATAGTTAAACCTTTGACCCTATTGTTTCTGATATTCCGTGTCCCCCCCCCCATAAATACAGTAGAGCTCTTGATGGCAGTAAGGATTCACCTTGAATTCACTAGAACCTAGCAAAAAAAATAAACCACAACAGTAGTACATCCATAACTTTCTGCTGAATTGATCATTTTAAACTGGTGCCAGAAAGGATAAGGGTTATTTTAGTCTTTCAGGACTGAGTGAGAGGTGTTACTACTGGATTATTACCCTATTAGATTGTAAGCTTCTTGAGGGCAGGGAATTTATTCATCTTCGTATCTATGTTTATAATTATTATCTTCATATTTATGTTCTATATGTTTATAATCTACTTGTTGTTTCTTCCCCATTAAAATGTGAGGTCTTTGCTAGCAAGGGGTTGTTTCATTATTTTTCATTTTATCTCTAGTGCCTGTCACATAGTAGATGATTAATAATTATTTATTAATTGATTGATAGATCTATCCCCACCACTACATGTAGTAGGAATCTAACTGATGATGAAAGCTTTCCTCACATCCTAAAGAGTTTTTTAGAATAGGTGAATAATAATACACATGGGAGAAAATGAATTGATTTGCAGGATGCTCATACAAAGTATTTCACAAGTAATAAAATAGACTTTAGGCAAAATTGTGAAGTACTTTCAGGTTTGGTGTGTGTGTGTGTGTGTGTGTTGTGTGTGTTGTGTGTGTGTGTGAGGCAATCAGGGTTAAGTGACTTGCTTAGGGTTACACAGCTAGTAAGTATCATGTGTCTGAGGCCAGATTTGAACTCAGGTCCTCCAGACTCCATGACTGGTGCTCTATCCACTGCACCACCTAGCTGCCCCTTTGAAGGTTTTTTTTTTTGGCTCCTTTTCTCTCCTTTCTGTACTCACTTTCCCTACCTGTCATCTTCCTTGGATGTCTGTGATGGAAGAAAACAACTGTAGGGGGATAGGGGTGGGGGGTAGGTACACCAGTCAGAATATCTAATTCTACTTCTGATATTAGCTAGTTTTGTGACCTAGGGAAGGTCACTTAAACTCTCTAAGCTTTGGTTTTTTATCTATAAAATGAGAGGGTTGGAATAGATGGACTTAAAGTCCTTTCAAGTTCTAAAAATTGTTGACAAACCAATAACTTTCACTAAGGTGTTAATGACAACATTATTTATCCAGGGAGTATTTATTTATACTTTAAAAGAAAATGGAAAGAAGGAAAACAATCCCCCAATACAATTCTTCTGAAGTAATGAAATTCAAACACTGGTTGGGAGGGAGATTTTTTTTTTGTTCAGGCAAACTTTCTTAGCATCTCTTTAAAAAAAAGAGTCAGAGGACACTAGTCACTCTCTGTAAGCGTAAGGTCTGCTCTACAGAGGGTGTCTTATGTCCTCTCATAATTATTTTTTTTTAATTTGTGTTAGTGTCTTTTGTTTTTTCATCACTTTCATTACTGAATACGACCCTTTGACCTCTTTCCCTTTACTAGTGAGGCATCCCTGTGACAGAAACAATTTTAAAGGGGAGGGATTAGACTTGTTCTGCATGGGGGACGAGAAATACAGTAAAAGTAACCAATGTGTTGGTCAGGGCTGATAGTATATGCAATGTTCCACACCCACAGTACCCCACATTTTTAAAGAAGAGGAGGTACATTTTGCCTTCTCTTCCTGGCCCTTCTCATTATATTAACTGTATTTATTAGTGTACTAATATAATTATAATAATTAATACATATTCATCGTTAGCATAATGATGATCATATTGATTATCATAACCAAGAAGGTTAAAACTGGATTTAAAAAGTGGATATCTCCTAATCTCTTCTCAGATCAGGACTCAGATGTGGTAACCTACTTGTGATGAACTTTTCCCTTTATCCAATAAAAGCCACTTATTCTTGGCCTTCATGTCCTCACCTATAAAATGAGGACAAGGATAGGGGTCCTTAACCTGGGTTGTATCATGCACTCCTTTGGCAGTCTGGTGAAATCTATAGATCCCCTTCTCAGAATAATGTTTTTAAATAATTGAAGGAAATTTTCACTTTCAGTTAGAGGTTAGCAAAAACAGAGATACATATTTTCTGTCTATGTTCATGTTTCCCCCAAAAATCTATACATAATCCCTTGAAGATCCATGGGCCCCAGGTCAAGAACCTCTGAGCAAGATTATCTTTAAATTTTCCTCAATTTCTAAATTTTGTGATTCTAATATATATCATTCACCAGGTTAAAGCATTTAAAGAGAAATCTGAAGTGGCTTTCTGTCTTTTGAATTCCAATTTTCCTAAAACACATTCCGGATATAGCGGAAGTGGGTTTCCTTTGCCAGATACATGTTTAACAAAAAAAGTTTCCTATATCCACAGCACCTTGAAGGGAATAGGCTTGGAGAACCAAGCATCCTGGAACTGCAGCAAAATTGGTGGGGACTTGGAGTCTGTAAAATAGCAAAGGAGACCCAGGTGATTCTGGAGTTAAATGATTATGCACCATGTGCCCTTGAAGGGAAGTGGGGAGGAAAGAAACTTAGCCTCAAAGTGACACAGGTCCAGATCGTTATGGCAATAGAGGAGCATCATTCTTGTGATGATTATGGCTGTGGTTTAAGAACATTCTGGAATTGGGCCCAAATGGAAACAAATTTTAAAAAAATAACACAGAACCCAATAAAAATGCTGCCTTCTGAACTCACACTCTCAAGCTACATCAGGCAAAGAAGATCACAAAGATGCTTTAGTTTTACAACCCAGCTATTTCTTGGGAGTTCCTCATACTTACCAGACTGGACAGGGAATTTGTCAGATGAGAAGGTAGCATGGATTTCTCTCTTTGAGTGTTCTCCCCAGCCCTCTACCACCACCACCTCCAGTGCTTATACGTCTGTACATTTATGCTGATAAGAGTGGTGGCAGAAAAAGGAAACCCCCTACTGGCTCAAGTGAATGATAAGGGGTTGGGGATAACAGAGCTTCCATTCTCTTTTCCCCCACCTTGCTTTCCTCTGCTATAGATAGCACCTCTAAAGGACTGCTCTTTTCTTAGTCCCTTTATCCATCCAGAGAGACTAGCCTTTCAGTCACCCAGGCATGCCAGAAGTGGCCTATCATAAAGACAGATAGCCTTTCCCAGCAGAGAATCTCCATCGTCATCAGTATCCAACCCCCCCTCCCCCTTCTTTTATTTTGCTGCTCTTGGAGATTAGAGATTTTAATTGTAAGACCTGTGAAATGCAGTTTTTCCTCCAACAGCTGTGTTTATGGTATATAACTTATTAGCTGCTTATAAGCCAACATTTAAAAGCATTCTGATGGATATTACTCAGCAAGGGATTAATCTTTTCCAACATCACATCCTTGACCTGCAAATGTACATTAGCAGGGGGTATAATGTCTGCTTTGACATTTGTTTGCAATGCATCCAAACACATTCTGGGATGCACATTCAGGTTTCCTGGCATTGAGACAGACAGGCGAGTCAGCTTTAAGACATATATTCCCCATATGCCAGGGTTAAAGGTACTAGAGCTTGCTGAGGTTTCCATTTGAGCCTTGCACTGTGCACTTTCCTAGTGCAAATTCACATCTATTGATCTCCTGCGGAATCAAAGAATGTCAGAGCTGGAAGGGACTTCACAGAAGCCATCTAGTTCAACATATACCTTAAAAAGAATGCCCTCTGCCACATACCTGACGAGTGGTCATCTAGTTTCTACTTAAGAACCCCCAGTGAAGGGGAACCCACTGTTTCTCATTCCAATTTTGAATAACTCTCCTGGTTAGGAAGTTTTTCCTTTTATTGAGCCTGTGAATCTATTTCCACCCTTCACTCTAAGTTTGGACCTCTGGGATCATGTAGAACAAATCTAATCCCATATAACTGCTCTTCAAAAAACTGAAAACTGGCTATATGGTCTCTCCTGAGTTTTCTAGAATAGTGGATATTTCTGGTTATGGCCAATTCTTGGATATTTTCTAAGGTAATCAATGCCTGGTTGTCACTTCAGCCAAGCTCTAGGGTACAGTAATGCTCAAATGAGTCTTTGAGCTTATTGATTTTGGAGTTCCCCATAATGATGTTGATCAGAACCCATCAATACCAGCCCACCCCATGTGACTCATTCATTTCATCTCAAAAGTTTACTGTAGGCAAGTATACACAACATAGTGGGAGCCTTCCTTGTTCTCTTCTGACATTGAAGGGTATATCAGTAGAATACTCTGGATGTCTGGCTATCATCTGCCATTCATGCCACATAACCAGGTTTCTTCTTTTCCTACCACACAGTTTTTCAATAATTTTTTTTTAATTCCTAACCTTCTTTTAAGTTCTTTATTGTCTATATGTTGCATTCTGATCACACCCCACCATGCATCTCTCAATTAATCAATCCATATGCATTTATTATACACCTACTATGTGCCAGGCAGTATGCTAGGCACTGTAAATATTCCTCCACACTTTGTGTTACTAATTTTTAGTTCCATGTTTAATTCCATGGGGGTTTTTTTGTTTGTTTCTTTTTTTGGTTTTTGTTTTTGGTATATAGCAACACTAGAAGGATGTTGGTATTAAAAATATGGACATTTACTTTTGTAGGAAAGTTGAGGAGTGGGGGGCAGGGCAGTTAATAAAGAAGTTTAGCAATTTCCTGAAAGCAATCTAATCTCTTCTCCTTCTATTGTTCAATTCTGGGCCCAACTTGTCCACCTGGGATTGTCCATTTGTAGGCCTATGAAAATGCTGAAATCTGAACCATAGACATTCTTCATCCACTTGGTGTTTCTTATGTGGATGGAGAGGACAAATTCCTTTGAGTGATTATGGAATTTTCTTTTCTAGGAGTTACTGCAGTATTCTGATGCTTGCTAGCCAACAGGAACAAGACCTCTAGATGACTTCACTGTCCTCAGGAAATCCCTCTTCAGTCTTGGCTCTGCACTCAATCTGCTCCATCGTAACATGTCTTTGGTGAGCATTTGTCTCCCTTTTTATGCCTCAGGACCTGATGTTTATTATCAGAGGGTCATTTAATGGAGTTATTTCTGTTGTTATATCTTCAAAGGAATTTTGAATGATTTTGATGTATGGGTGGGACATACTTTGTTGTAAAAGAGGTGGTAAAATGGTAATTTGTTCTACTGAACCAAATAGCCACTCACTTTTTTTGTTAATCAACAAATAATGAGCGTGGTGGGGCCCTATATTCTTTACATCTTTCAGATATCATGAAAAAACTAAAAATGTGTTGTATTATTAATATCATTTGTGAAAGCCTGCCTCTTCCATACTAATAACCTCATCAAAGAAGTCTTAAATTCATATATGGATGACTTTTAAAGTGGGAGCAAAGTACAAGGGCCACAGTCAGCAGCTGATCTGTTCTGACAACTGGCAAAAAAAAAAAAACAACCCTAAAAACAAACAAACCAAAAAGAATAAACTGGTCAGTGTGATAGAGAGAAGGTACAATATTTGTAATGGCCAATTTACATTCCACATTTTACCTTCCTCTTAATCTAATCTATTCAGTTGTAAACCCATTGTTGCAAGGACAACCTGTTTCTAATATTGGCCAAAAGTTGAATGTGACCTAATGAGGTAGTGCCTCATTTTAGAATTGCATCAATGACACAAACTGTGAAAGGTGGGAGGGATGCTATTCTGTGATCAAGGTTGAAATTATGTCCCTTCCGCCATGTGTCACTAGATATTTCAAGACTATACACATTTGCATGATTGTAGCAAGTATAAGGCTCAAAGAGCAAGAAGGTACCTCATTAGGTCATTTTGAGTTCCTACCCCTGGTCTCCAATCTGTAGTGTACCTAAACAGCTTTGTACATGTGGTTGTCTCTCCTTGTCTTAAAAATAACCAGAGAATGAGATTGCATTTGGTAATGCATTCCAGCTGCCTCATTGAAAGCTTTGTGCCTGTATAACCAAAAAACATCAGAAAGAGGGAGTTGCTTTAATTTATTTTACTATCTGTTTAATGGAAGTTGTATTTCGTGGAGAGAGGGTGGGCTGGCACAAAGTTTAGAAGAAGGTCTATGCAAAACAGCTCTCAGATTTACACTGCTTTGCACATGCCTTCAGCAAAACAGAACTGTAACTATGGAAAGCACACTAGATCAGAAGTTGAGACCACAGGTCTAATCTCTGCTCTTGCTGGGGAATGATTTCCTCATCTATAGAATCATAGATTCAAAGCTGGATGGAACCTTAGAGGTTATCTGCTCTATCCTTCATTTTATAGATGAGGGAACCCAGGCCTAGAAAGGCTAAATGACTTGACTAAGGCCACATAGCTTATTAAATGGAAAAGCTAGTATTTGAACTCAAGTTCTCTGATGCTAAAGCCACCAACTTTTCCTTACTTCCAGGATGCAAGGATGTTGAAAGGATGAAAGGGGCAGCTGGGTGGCACAGTATATAAAGTACCAGGCCTGGAGTTCACAAGACCTAAGTTGAAATCCAGCCTCAGACACTTACTAACATGTGACCCTGGGCAAGTCATTTAACCCTGCTTGCCTCAGTTTTCTCATCTGTTAAAAAAAATGAGCCTGATGAGGAAATGGCAAACTACTTCAATATTTTTTTTGCCAAGAAAACTCCAAATGGGGTTATAAAGAGTAGGACATGACTGAAACAACTCAGTAACAACAAGAAAGGATGAAATGACCTAATAGAAATAAATCATAATTTTATTATGAAATGAGGTTAATGAAAGAAAGCAAAGTGATCCTCATGAGTATCTCCTACTTTAGGTAGAATAGACCCGACCAATAGAATAGACAAAACCTTAAGGTCTTGAGGATGCTTGAAGTCATCCTCCAGATGTAAGTTTTGATCATAATGGTTTTTAATCTTTATCATGAAAACTTTCAAATCATAGAGACAGTGAGGTGGCACAGTGGATAGAGTGCTAGAGTTGGAGTCAACAAGACCCGAGTTCAAATCCAGCCTCAGACACTTACTACATGTGTGACCCCGGGCAAATCACTTAAACACTCTAAGCCTCAGTTTCCTCATCAGGAAAATGGGAATAGCAATAGTACCTTCCTCACAGGGTTTTTTGAGGATAAAATGAATTGAGATATATGAAGCACTTTCTTAAACCTCAAAGCACTATTTCAGCGTTATTAAACTAGCTGACTCAACTCCAGCCCTGGATCAATTGCTCAACTGCTTTCTCTTCTTTTGAACTTTGAAGACCTCTTTGCAGATGATGGCACATGGTGCGTGTGCTGGAGTTAGCACAAATTTTCAGGGTAAGCATTGTTGTTGTCATGAAGTTCGATCTTTTTCAGTTGTGTCAAACTCTCCATGACCCTGCTTAGGGTCTTCTTGGCAAAGATACTGGAGAAGATTTGTCATTTCCTTTTCCAGCTTATTTTAAAAATGAGCAAACTAAGGCAAACAGGGTTAAGTGACTTGCACAGGGTCATACAGCTAACAAGTATCTGAAGCCAGATTTGAACTTGAGAATATGTCTTCCTGACTCCAGGCCCAGCACTCTTCTGTAGCACCTATCTGCCCTTGGGTGAGCATTGACCCCTCAGAAATCAGCAAATGTTATAAATCAAGGTCTGATATTTTGTTGTTGTTGTTGATTATTTAGACTTAAGAAAGTGATGGAGAAAACAATAATAATGCAGATTAAAGAGAAAAGTGTGTTGTGCATACATCTTCTTTTTTTCAGGTAGTTGGCTGTTAAACATCTATCAACACACTCCTGAATGGTCCATCACTTGTATTTAGATTCTGATGACTTTGAAAAGCTGATTCTAGCAAAAAAAAAAAAAAGGACTACTGGCCTGTCAGAGGAACCCCAAAAACCCCAAGCAGATATTCCACATTTTTGTTTTCTTTCCTATACTTCGAAGTCCTTTAGCTTCCCTGCCTGCATAACAACTACAAATGTGGCTCTGGACCCAGAAATCTCCCAGATGACCACGCTTCAAGTCTGAAGTCTTCAAGAGGAGACTTTGCCTTCATCCATCTGTGTCCACATTTTCACTCATTATATTGCTGTGTGTTTGGCTGTGGCATAATTACAAGATGGTGCAGGGAGTAGGTAAGAGGCACCCAAAGAAGGCCATGTTTGTCTAGAGAGGGAGGCAAGCGGAGGAAATGAGACAAAATGAAACTTTCCATCTGGAACAACAAATTGGGCTGAGAGTGACAAATTTAGTGTGAGGAGCAGGTTAGCAGTGACATGACATCAACACACATACTGTAGCAATGCATGCTATTATTTAACATGCTAATATATCACTATTATGTGCTCATTACTGGCTGTAGCATCACACTGAACAAGAGATCATTATTTGCTTGAGGGCCATGGCAGTGACTGATGAGGATCATATAACAGCAGCCACCCTGGCCTTTTTTATCCATGTTGACAGGGAAATGGATTGTTCTTTTATGCCTTTGTGTAAGTAAGACTTGAGGTATGGTAGAGCAAGGTAGAATGGCTTTCCACTTCAGTTCTGAAGATTTTTACTTTCTGAAGGGGTAAAAACCCTAGAGAGAATGATCATTGTTCTTTCTTCTCTCTGTCTTTTTTCTCCCTCTGAACCCATTTTTCTTGACCCCTCTTTGTACTCCATTTCTTCTTCCTCTATAGTCTATACCATGGTATAGTGGAACAGTGTGCTTTTTCCGGAGTCAGATAACCTTGGTTCAAAACAAGATTATTACCTATGACCTCTGGCCAAGTCACTTAACTACTCTGGGCCTCAGATTTCTTACCTGTTAAATGAAGTAATTGGACTCAATGATCTCTTTCTAGTTCTAAATCTATAATACTCTTATCTCTCTCTCTCTTTCTCTCTCTCTCTCTCTCTCTCTCTCTCTCTCTCTCTCTCTCACTTAAGGGGCATTCATTACCCATAAGCATACAGTTCGCACTTTCTCAGCTTTATGGTTTATAAAGTACTTTCTTCACAATAACTCTGTAAAACAGATACGTACTATTACACCCATTTTACAGATGAGAAAAATAAGACTAAGAGAGGTTAAATGACCTGCCTAAAATCACAGGGTAAGCAAGAGGCAAAACCACAACACAAAAACAAGTCTGATTCTAAACTCTGCTTTCTCTATGTTTGCAAGCAAGGAAGCAAAAAACATGGTGTGTGTGTGTATGTGTGTGTGTGTGTATGTGTGTGTGTGTGTGTGTGTAGTGCTCAGAACTCATAGTTCTGGGGGCATAGGTAGGGCCAATACAGGGATTATTTCTTATTTTTTGAATATTGATCTTGGTAATTAATGGGCAATTTGGTGTCTACTAAGTCTCTTGTGTACTGTATCTTTGGGACAGAAGAAGGTAATAAAAGGGAGAAAGAATAATAGGATAACAATACAAAGGTTAAAAGGAATTGTAGGGATCATCTAAATTCATCATTTGACACATAAACAAACTGAAGCCCAGACCTCAAAAGGACCTTAGAAATGATTTGGTTTAGCCCATTCATTTTACAGGTGAAGGGACTGAAGTCCAGGGAGGATGTGACTTTTCTAAGGTCATACTAGTACTACAGAGTAAAGTGGATTTGAACCTAGGTTTCATAATTACATATTCACTGCCATTACATTTAGTGGCAGAGATGCACCATTACTAGCTTTGTAACATTGGACCACAGACATTTTAAAAAATGTGATTTTGTGTCTTTTTTTAAAATGCTATACAGTGGACAAGAAGAAGAGACAAATATTTTTGAGTCTAAGAAACGTAAGTATCACCACAGCTTTGTATAAGACCTGTTCGTCTTTTTTCCCCCTCTAGTTAACCAAGAGAAACACAGCATGTACCAGAGGAATACCCTGAATTCCACTACAAAAAAAAAAGTGTCACGTAGGCGAACCAAAATCATTCTTGAGTCAAAGGTCAAAGATCACACTACAGGAACTTCCTTAGCTATCCAATATCATGGAACTCCAGCCAGGTCAAGTTAGTTGGGACTTGGCAGGAAGAAGCTCAAGTCAAAAATCCAAGTCAGGATGTTAAGAGTCAATAGCTCCATATGGACAGAGACAACCCTTCAATTTGAGATCTCAACTGACTTTGTCATTTTTGTTTTGTCCCCAGGCAGAATTTCATTGAATACCCCTCACGTGTTACTATTGGCCTCTGACCAATGGAATACTGTTTTCTTTCCCCAGCGTCACTGTTCACACATATCCTACCTGCGGTGAGATTTTCCCAATAGTCTATAATCTAAATGTCAAGCAATATAACTGCTGTCAAATCTGAATAAAATGTTTGATGGTTTTATCTGGGAAAGCAGTGTGTCAGGATGCATTAATGATCAACATCTTCATGAGAAGATTAAAGAAATCAATTGTTTGTTTGAAAAATGTGAGCCTTTACACATGCTGTAATCCTAATTTGCCTTGCCTTGGGTTTACACATAAAGCTAGCTTTTTCCCTTAAAAGTTGTGGTAGAGAAGATGAAAAACTCTCTCAATAGCTCAGAAGCTTGGGGAAAACTTTAGCTAGATAGGTGCTGGGGTGGAAGAAACAGAGTTTTTTCAAGGTAATTTTTTTTCTTCTCCAGGAATTACTGGGACACATTTGTTAATTTATTCAGTGATATATGTCCACAATTAGGATAAAACAGACTGTGAAACTTGCTTGTAAGAAAGCTTGTAGTGTGGTAAGTTAGATGAAAGGTAAACACCTGCTCCCTACTTCTGCTGTTGAGTCTTTGCCAAATAGCCCTATCTGATAAATTACCTAAATTGCTAATTATTTGGGGGGTTTTGGGGGAGTGGTAAGGGGGTAGAGGCAGGACAATGAATAGAAGTGAAGAGTCTATGGGTCCTGTTTGTTGGCTGACCTTATCTCGGGCTTCCAAAGATCTCCCCACCCCCCACCCCCTTTCAGTTGCGGCTAAACCCAAAACATATTTTGCCAATGGAACTTTGTGTTCATTTCTTTCACTTGTATTTTAAAGGAAACGTAATCCATATGTTTCATCTTCATTTACGCTTAAATCATCCAAATACTATTTTGTAAGCACAAGTGAAATGTCCAAGAATCCTTTTGAGTCCTCTTTTTCCAACAAAGGAAACCACCTTTTGCCAGAAATAAATCTCTTTGGGTTCAACTTTAGTTCCAAACACTCAAATCATCAGAACTCAAGAGCTCCCAAACATGGAGAACTCTTTGTTGTCATCTGTTCACCTGAAGTGGCACCCAGTCAACAGGATGTTCTGTCAGATGTAAAGCATTAAACATTATTAGCAGAAAAAAAATTAATGTGACAAAAATATGTTTTCTTTGTCTTCTTTAAATAAGTTCCAGAGCTCTTGTTCCAATATCTTAGTGTCTCTTCCTTCAAGTGGCTGCCTATGGGAAGAGACTTCTACTTTTTTTTTTTTTGCCAATAGATATCACAGATATTCAGACTTGGAAGGGGCTTTAGAGGTCATTTCATCCAACCTCTCATGCCAACCCCCTTCCAGAATTTGCCTGATGCGATCATACAATCTCTTCTTGAACACTTCTACTGATAGAAGTTCATTACCTCACCCAGTGTAGTTCATTCTATAGTTAGACAGCCATGACTATTAGAAAAGATTTTTCTTATATGTCTTTACCAATAAGGGTTAGAATTTTTTGAGAGATTTTTAGTAGTTGAAAACTGCTTTATATAGATTTTCTTATTTGAGTCTTATAACGATGATGATGATAGCATTTATATAGCACTTTAAAGGTTAAAAACTTTTCACAACAAAGCATGTGCCAGGCAAGTCAAACCATCACCACCACCTTTATCACAATCTCCCCTTAGACCTTGATTGAGATAGCCTAGGCCCCTGAACCAAAGAGCCGTGGGACTAACACTAATTCCAGGCCAATGCCTTCAGCCGCCATTCTGGGAAATATGACCAGTGGACATGTATCCTGGAATCTGTTCCTTCAGATGCTATAGTCATAGTTACTGATGAATCCGAAAAGAAAGTTCCTGCTACTAAAAATCCTTGGTAACACTAAATAGCTCAATATCAGAAAGTGATGTGATTTTATCAGGGGAAAAAACATTAAATAAGAATTAATACCTGTTTTGCTGCTGAACCCAACAGACCATGGGATTTTCCATCTAATTTGGTACAGCTGAAGCCCTCCATACCTATGCAATTGTTCAATTTGGGGGATGGGAGGGGGCATATTAATTGAAAAATACTTTTAACTTGAAAAAAATTTAAAAATCAACTTTTTAAAAGAGATATGGGTTTCCTTAAATGGGGATGGGCCAAGCCTGCACTTTTCAGATCTGATTGGTGACTCTCATATAGAAGTGGTCATTTGTTACTATGTCCTCACTTTCCTTGTGTTCCAAAATTTCTTCTTTCCAGAGCACATACCATTTTGTATTCATGTATATTGTTGAGTTTGGAAATAGAAATAAACTTATGTGTCATGTGAAGATCCCATTCCGTCTCCCAACTTTAAACAACATCAAGGACAACAACTATAGCAACAAAAACAACAATTCCTTGGATTTTCTAACTTCATTTTTAAAATTTTAAAAATTGCTATGGGTATAATTTTTTATTGATTATAATTCATAACATGCCAAATGTATTAGCCTCCATCTCACCGGAGTTACTAATCTCTTGTACAACTTGGTTTGACTCTAAAATGTCATTCATTTGTGCATGGGTTAAATGAACTCTGTAAGACAAGGAAAATTAAATTTACAATGTCACCTTTAAAATTCTCATGCAGATATCCATTCTACCTTCTAGTAAGGTATAGAGTTTAGGGCACTTGAAGCATAGGTCAGCCAGTATTATACATGCGTAATCCCCAACAAAACATGCGGTTCTAACAGCTTTACAAAGTTCCTTTTTTTTGGTCAAGGCAGTGGCAACAACTCTTTCTGGTTTGGTTTGGTTTTTTTTCGTTTGGGTGCTTTTTTTTTTTTTGGCACAAACTCTTTAACAAACAATGAAGATCATCTGAGAGCCCTAAGGATTTAGTTGGGTGGCAGGCTCCTCTTTAATCAAAATGCTTAATTCCTTCCTCAGTTTCAAAGACAATTAAGCTAAAAATGCTTTATCTTGGTAGTGAAAAGAAATCTATACTCTTAAAAAACATCACATGCATAACTTTTTTTGCACAAACGCACACACGGAAACACACACATACACACTCACACACACACATATATCATATAATGTTAGACCTGAAAAAAATTAATTTGAGGATTGTATAATATTACCTCTTCTTTATTTTTTTCCCACAATTGGGGAAATGGTTATGGGCAGAAGTGATTTGCTCAAAAGAATTAATGACAGGATCAAATAGAGAGAAAGATCTCCTGCCTCCTAGACCATTGATCTTTTCTACTAAGACACACTATGAAGAGGGAAGAGAGAGGGAGAAAGCCTGGAGAAGGAAGAGGAGAAGTGAGATGGACTTTGGGGAAAAGAGAAAAGACTGAGCGAGGAGGAGGAATCCCAGGCATCTAAAATAAGATTGATCTTTTGAATAGCTAAGCACTTTTCTAGTTAAATTTTTTTTTAAAAAAGGGGTTCATTTGTAGATACATGTCTCAAATTGAGAATGCATTACTTGTATATGGAAAGCTCCAGAATTTCAAGTTGAAAGGGACCCTACAACATCATCTCCGTCTACCTCCCCATTATACAATGGAAGAAACTGAGGTGAGGTGTAGATGATGATTAGGTTGAGTAAAATCCATGGAAAAGCCTCCAAATAAAGTTTTAACTGATATCCTTAACCTTGTACTGCCTCCAAACCTTTTAGCGAATTATTGATATAGAAAGATTAAATGACTCTAGTTTCTCCTCCTAAGGGAGGTGCTGGACAGAGACAAGCAAAGGGGCTGGATAATTTATACATTTGATTGGAGGGCTGATTACTGTCAGGCACACATACAATGTGTGTCTATGTGTGGTTGTGCGTATATATGTATGTATGTGTGTGTGTGTCTACATATATATGTGTATACATATATATATATATATACATATATATATATATATGTATATATATATATATACATATATATATATATATATATATATATTGCTAAAGGCAAAAGCAGTAGCTTATAAGCTTTTAGAAATAGTTAGAAAAATGTTAAGTACCATGTGTTCCTAAAATGTTTGTTTTCCTGATTACCCAATTGAGAGATTTAGTTCTTTAGGACCCACAGAATTTCTCATATCAACAGAAATTCCAATTAGAAACCAGGAAAAAAAGATAAATGATACATTCAATTTTAGGGGAAATATCATAGAAAATGTAAAATTTGGTTCTTTAGGACCCACAAATTATCTTGTAGCCAAATCAACAGAAATTCCACCTGGACACTAGAAAAGAAAAACAATACATGCAACTTTGAAAAAAAATCATACAATTTTAGAGACAAAAAGAACTTTAAAAATGCTCTTGTCTCACTCCATCATATTACAAGTGAATGATCTAGATTACTCCCAGTTGGATCATGGCAGAACCAAAAATAAAACCTTGGTTTTCCTTTTTGTAGTCTTGGGCTTTTTCCCATATGCTGCTTCTTAGAGGATTTAAATGTTGTAGGAAATGATAGGCAAAGGTGAGTATACAATAGGTGGAAGACAGTCATTCTAGGATGGAGAAACAACTGCTATATCATCCTCATTTAAAAATATAAATTTATAATGTATTTATTTGTGTCTGCACATATACATACATGTCCACACAGACACATGCACACATTTTCTAGACATACATGTTGTGTGCCTGTATACATGTGCCTATACATATGTGTGCATCAATTTAAATGTCTATAAACATAGCGTACATGTATATGTCTAGTGTGTATACATACATACATGCATATATACACATACACACATTAGGAAACTCCTTGTATCTTGCCCTTATGAATTGCTTAGAGATCTTAGGCATATTATATATCAAAAGTCTGAGGCACTGATACTTTCACATCACAAAATTAGTGACAGCTACCTTTAGAATGCTTCCCTGGTAGCTTGGCCATAACAACATCTGTCTCAGGACTCTGGCCGTCAATGGTCCTTGAGCCCTTACAGAAAGAATCCTTGTTGAGAAGAATATTTTTGGCATGCAAAGCATCTTGGCCTAAGATTTGGAGATAGGTGGGTTATTAACAGAGGGAAAAATGGGCAAATTTGCTGATTAGTTGAGGGAT